TCAGTGATTGTTGCTGGTGTTATTATGTGTTCAGGAACACCATTAGTATATTCTTGTATTAAGATTTTAATGCAACGAGTTCCACAAAATGTTTCAATAAAAAAATTAAAAAGAGATATTTTAGCTGTTAATGGCGTTGATTCAATTCACGAATTTCATTTATGGCAGTTAGCCAATGAAACAAATGTTGCTACGATTCATTTATTCTTAAATGAAGATGATCGTTGTCGTGTAATGGAAATTGTTCAGGATGTTAAAAATGTATTCCATAAATATGGAGTTCATTCAACAACTATTCAAACAGAATTAGGGGTTATTGGAGAAGCAAATGGACATGACTCTATTGGTATTTCAAGAAGATGTTTGATTGGTTGTCCAAGTGATGAATGTAAAAATGATGTGTGTTGTAAACAACCATTGATAGAAAAGAAATAATAAAAAATTATTATTTTATTTTTTTTTCTTTTAATTCTAAAAGTTTTAACAAAAAAAAACTTAAAAACAAAAAGATAAAATAAAAGAACAGTCATGGAAGGAGTTTTGGCTGTTAGTGATGGACATGATTTATATACAAATGATTTTGGAAGTGTTAGGGGAAATCTTGAACCTAAAATTATTTCATTTGTAAAGAATTTTAGTAAACATAAAAATAATATTTTTGATTATAGAGAACAGTTACAAAGAAATATTAGAATGGGAAAGTATTTCTTAGAAATTGATATTATGGATCTTCAAAATTTTGATGAAAGTTTAAAAGAAGCATTATTTAAACATGCATCTGAATTTATATCTATTGTTTGTTAAAACAGTAATTAGTTAATAATGATATGACTAATATTCATATATAGTTTGAAAATGTTCTTTCAGTTCAAGTACTTTCAATGAGAGGTTGGGAAAAAAAAGAAGACTATATAGAAAGTGAAACTGGAGGACCAATGATGCAAGTCATTATTAAAGACACTCAAAGTAAAATGATTCAACCTCGTATGTTACAATCTTCTTTTCTTAGTAAAGTTATTAGAGTAAGTGGTATTATAGTTTCAATTAGTCGAGTTGAACCAAAAGTAACTAAAGCAATATTAAGGTGTAGGAGTTGTCAAAAAGAAATTTCAGTTATAGTTCCATCATGTTGTGGTATTATTAATTATCCAAAATCATGTGATGGAGTAAGTCCAATAACTGGTAAAAAATGTCCTCAAGACCCTTATGATGTTGTCACTGAAAAATGTAAATTTGTTGATCGAGTTATATTAAAATTACAAGAAACACCAGAGAATGTTGCACCAGGTGAAGTTCCAAGAACAGTTACAGTTATTTTAGAACGTTATCTTGTTGTTGGATTAACAGCTGGTCAAAGAATATGTATTGAAGGTATTTTTGGTGCGTCCTTACAAAGAAAAGGAACCATTTCAACATCATATATTAGAGCAATTGGAATTGAGATAAGTGGTCAAGTTGTTTCTCAAGACGATAGAAGAATGAAAGAAGTTGCAAGAACAATAACTAAAGAAAAACTTATTAAATCAATTGCACCAGCTATTTGTGGATATGATGATATTAAAGAAGCTGTTTTATGTCTTATGCTTGGTGGAAGTGGTAAAGCACTTCCAGATGGAACTCATTTAAGAGGAGATATTAATGTTTTATTAATGGGAGACCCTGGAACAGCAAAGTCTCAATTACTCAAATTTGTTCAAATGGCAACTCCAATTGGTGTTTATACTTCTGGTAAAGGTTCTTCTGCTGCTGGATTAACTGCAGCTGTTAATAAAGATTCTTCTACTGGAGAATTTTATCTTGAAGGGGGAGCTCTTGTACTTGGAGATGGAGGTGTTGTTTGTATTGATGAATTTGATAAAATGAATGAAGTTGATCGTGTTGCTATTCATGAGGCAATGGAACAACAAACAATTTCTATTGCAAAAGCAGGTATCACAGCCGTTTTGAATGCACGGTCTGCTGTTTTAGCTGCAGCAAACCCATCGTTTGGAAGATTTAATGAACGGGCATCATTTGGTGATAATGTTAATCTAAAAACTACTATTTTATCAAGATTTGATATGATTTTCATGATTAGAGATAAACATGATGCAAAAAGAGATAAAGAAATAGTTAGACATATTATGGACATTCATCGTCAAGATGTAAAAGTTGATAATTTAAGTACAGACACTTTAAAGGAGTATATTGCTTATTGCAAAGCATATTGTATTCCTCGTCTTACAGAAAATGCTTCAAATAAATTATCGGATTATTTTGTTTCAATTAGACAAAAAGTAAGGGAAAACAAACTTGAAAATGATAATGATGAAGGTGTTCCAATAACTGTAAGACAACTTGAAGCCATTATTCGTATTAGTGAAGCATTAGCAAAAATGACTATGAGTGATATTGCTGATGAAAATCATGTAGATGAAGCTATAAGATTATTTGAATTATCAACTATGAACTCCGCTGTTAGACAAAAAGAAAAACATAAAAAACGAAGAGATGATAAGTAATTCAATGTCTTTATTATTTTATTACTTCTCTTCAATATTTATTCATAAATAAATTTATATATTTATTGATAGTAATTAAGATAATTTCAATTTTAAACTTTAAATTATTAATATAAACCAAATGAATTTAATAACAAAATACACTGATTAACATTGGCATGTATTTTGATGATCTTTTTTGTAAGGTTGAATAACACATTGTTTTTCATTTGTAACTATTAATTCCTTTTTCTGAAGAATATCAAATCCTAATTGTGAGAATATATCTTCAACCCCATTACCATCTTTTGCACTAATAAAGAAGTACTTAATACCACCTATTTTCTTAACAAGTCTTTCAATAGATTCTGGTTGTACACATATTCTATCTTTTAAATCCATTTTATTTCCAATAATATAAATCACAGGTGGATTATGTTCAGTTTTTCTCATTACCTCATTAAACCAAGATGATATTTGGTCAAATGTAGATGTATCAGTTACGTCATAGACTATAAGAACTCCTTGAGTACCTCTGTAATAACTTGATGTTATATTTCTAAATCTTTCTTGTCCAGCTTTAAATATAAGAATTTTTTTATTTTAAATCAAATAAAATATGTAACAAACCAGTATCCCATAATTGCATTTTTATTATTTCATTATTTAATTTCATTAATTTCAGTTTAAAATCAACTCCAACTGTTGGCATATAACATGGCTCAAATATATTATCACAGAACCTTTGCATTAATGCAGTCTTTCCAACTCCAGATTCTCCAATAATGAGAATTTTAAATAAATGATTAAAATTAGGATAAGTATGTGTCATTTTGTTTTTTTATTTGAATGAGTTATACTAAGTTTTACTTATTTAAATTTCCCCATAATAAAATCATAGTTAAACTTAATGACTTTTTAATATGTCTAATCAATATTTCTTAATAAACAAAATCTTTCAAAAATATTTTGAAATCATAATAAAAAAATTCTTTAATAAAAATCAAAAAATGAAAAAATAAATTCGAATATTTATTTTAAGAAATTTATAAGAATAAGTAAATATATTAAATAAAATGAAAAATGAAATATGATAATTTAATTTAGAATTTTCTTATTTAGTTTTAATCCAATTGTTTTTTTTATTTATTTAAAAAAGAATATCTGAATAATTAAAGAAAGGCTTATTCCTTAGTTATTTGATTAGAATGATTTTTACGATGTTCTTCCCATTTCTTTCTTAATTCTTCAATGGAAATAGGTGCAGATTCAGCTCTAATAAGTTTTTTATGTTCATATAAAGTTGGTTTTTCACTAACAATGGAAGCAGCAAGAGAAGTGGCTTTATGAGTTTTAGTGTATTTTTCAAAAGTAGAACTTAGTGATAAACCAGTATCTGAAGAGGTTGATTTTTTTGTTTTTTTTCTCATAGGAGTTCTCTTCTTTCCAGTAGGATTAACAGTTGGATGTTCAACAACTTCTTTTGAATAAACTACTGATGTTTCTGTTTCATTATTTATTTTTTCTGTAGAGGTAGAAGGGATTAAAGATGGGGTATTAGTTATATCACTAACCTTTTCATATTCAGCGATTTTATCAGCAAGATGAGATATGTCAAGGTCATCTTCTTTTTCATCATCAGAGTCATAAGTGTCATATACATAATAAAGGAAATCATCCCATAAATTACTAACTTCTTTAACAAGTAATTGAAGACTTAATTTAAACCCATCAATGAGTATTGGTTTATAATCACTAATAAGGTCTGAACCATTATACGTTCTTACATTAATTCCAGTATCAGAAATAAGCATTCCAGCACCTTTATTTCTATCAGAATAATTAGGAGCACTAAAAATAGTAAAAGCTAAAGGAGAATCAAGGTCAATGTCTCCAAAATTATGTAATTCAATTCCATTAGAAACACATTGATGTCCTCTTATAATAGCTCTAACTTGAGTATTTTCAATAAACTTAGACATAGCAGCATATCCATAAATAAAAGAACAATTCCGTGGACTATTAGGAAGAAAACCAATACTTTCCCATCTCCATTTTATATTAGAATTTTCAGCAAAGAAAGAATCATTTGTAGGATCAGACCATAATAAATCACAAAATAATCCACTGTGAGGAGGTTCAGTAAATCTATTAATATACCTAATATCATCTAACATATTTAATTTAGGTGAAATACCACCATGACATAATAAGAAAGAACCTAAAGAACATTTAAATAAAGCAGCTAATGGAATTGTATTAAAAAATTCACAAAATAAATCGTATATAGCATTATTATATTTCCAAATTGTTTCTGTTTTAAAACCAAATTTTTCTGTCATAGAACGAGATTCATGATTACCACGAAGTAAAATAACTCCAGTTGGATCATTTACTTTCATACAAAGTAATGTAATAAGAATTTCACATGAATATTCCCCACGATCAACATAATCACCTAAAAAAACAGTTGTATATTGATATTTATCCCATTCACTATCAGATAATTCTGACAAAAAATCAAAATATTGTCCATGGAAATCACCAAAAACAAGGGCAGTATTTTCTATTTCAAGTAAATTAGGTTCAGCTCTTGTTAATTCTGAAGCTTCTTTAATAAGAGAAACTAAACAATTTTGTTCAATAATTCCACCTTTCATAAAATGATCTCTAAGGACACTTAAATCATATTTACCATTGACTCGGGGAATAATTAATTTTGATTGAAGAGTAGACATTATACTCAATAACAAGTTTTAAGTTCTTTGAAAATAATCTGAATTTCATTCTTTTTTCTCCTTTTCTTTTAGTTCATCAAAAGAAATGTTTTTCTTTTTCTTTTAGTTTTTTTATTATAAAATAAATTATTTATTTTAGTATTTTTGGTTAATAAAATTTCTGTTTTTATTATTGTTTGAAATTCTGAATGGAACACCTTATTAGTGAAGAAACAAAAGTTACTGTACAAGCAATTCAAGATATTTCTGGTCTTGGATTTCTTGACAAAAGTAAAGGAACAAATATTCCAAGTTTAACTGAATTAACACAAACCCAACATAATATTGAATCTCAAATTACAACTCCAAACTCACAAAACGATTTATCTTTTAATGACTCATCTATTCCTGAAGGAAGGAAATTTCAAATACCATTATGGTTAGCTATTACATTACAAAATTATGGTTATGTTAGAATTATTGTTAATGAAGAATTTAATAAAGAATATTCACGTCAATTTATTAAAAAAGCAACTGACGTTTTTGAAGTAAATCCTTCTTCTATTAATTTTAGTAAATTCCCTTTTTATTTTGAAGTTGGTGGAAATATTGCACAAGAAATAGGAGATGTTGAATTAGCTAAATCTATTCGTAATATGATGTTAATTCGTTTACGTCGTATTTATGATGAAGCTTGTAATTCATCAGAACAAGCAAATAAATTTGTTAGGACATTAACTCATTCAGAAAAAGAATTATATCAAGAAATTGTTGATGTAAATACTCAGTCAAAAAAAGTTAAAACAATGGAACTTGATCATGTTCAAATGTCTTCATTTCATGATATTATTCATAAATAATTGTAAAAATCATAATTTTAACTTTTACTTTTTTTTAATGATTTTATTTTTTTTCTTCTTTCCAGAAACTTTATAATTATTAAACTTAAAATTCTTTTATAATGGAAATTACTTTTGTTCAAGGTAATAATTGGCCAAAAGCTGATGTAATTCAATGGTGTGATCCATATATTTTAATGAAATACACAGAAGAAGGTTCCTCAAAGACTTTTAAAACTTCAGTTCAAAAGAATACTTCTGAACCTAAATGGGATCAATCAGTAGAAGTAAAAAAACTATCAGGAGAATTAGTTTTTGAATGTTGGGACTGGGATAGAATGAACTCTGACGATTTACTTGGAACAGTAAAAGTACCAGTTCCTGATTTTCAAGAACCAGAAAAGACAGTAACTCTTGTTGTTGTTCTTGATGAATCTTATAAGAAGAAGAGAAAAAACAATAATATGGAAACTACTATCACTATTAAATTTAAACATTCTAATTTACAAACTACTGCCAAAGTTAATAGTTTACAAGAAACTCTTAGACAAGAAGAAGAAAAGAAAAGAATTTATTTAAAAGATTATATCCCAGTATTAAAAAATATTACTGGTAAAACTAACTTTTCTTTACTTTTCTCTTCTGACATCTTCTCAATAGACCCACAAGTATTACATACTAAGATTTATGGTAAAAGAAATTTGATGTTACTTATTATTACTGAAAGTGGTTGTTCATTCGGTTCATTTAATGAACAGTCAATGTTAGGTGATGCTGAAGGTAATGACGATATATCAAAAGATGAAAATGGATGTATTTTTTCTATTGTTGGCCCAACATCTGACCCAACTCGATTTAATGTAAAAAATCCTAATGCCACATCATTATGTCTATTTAATGGAAAATCTCAATCTCAAGATGTAATTATTGGAGTAAATGGTGCTTTTTATATTAAAAAAGATAAATCAGTTTATGAGCTTCCTTCTATTAGTGATTACTATGATGTTGGTGGAAGTCATTCAGTACTTTTAGGACAATTTTATCCAATAACATTTCCTATTTCAAAGTTCCTTGTACTTCAATGGAACTAAAAAGTCTTTATGACATAATCCATTTTCAATTTTGTTTTAAATCACTTTATTTTTTTTCTTTTCTTCATAATTATTTTTATTTTCTTCCTTCTAGTAAAATTTATTTTTCTTTATTTTTTTTATAACTTAACTTTAAAAACCTTTCCAGTTGAAGTTGAGACTAAAAACAGAAGAGTTCATTATTTTCCTATTTATTAATAAAAAGATCTTTTTTATTTATTTTTGATCAGAAATAACGTTTTTTTTAAAGAAATTCAAATTATTTGAGTATTTAAGTTAGAAATTCAAAAAATGCACAAACAACTCAAGTTAAAACCTCCGAAATACACTCTTTTAATATTGTTTAAACCCATTACATGTATACGAGAAATGAGTAAAAAGGTTTAAGGTATTAGTCTTTAAGTAAATGCTTCATGAATATTTCAAAAAGTAATTCTTAAAAAAAGTTTTTTTAATAAATATTATAATATTGGTTAAAAATATAATTTATAATTCATTATTGGAGTGAATATGGAAATATAGATGGGCCAGAAGAAGTAGTCTTAATTGAGAGTGAATGATGGGATATAATCTCACGTGAACAACAGGTAGAAGACTTGTGTCTTGAAACCTAACTAGTGTTTATTCTTATTAAAAATATAATTGTATAAAATTATAATAATTTTATACAATCATTATAGTTTTATTAACAAATAATATGATTTTGAGTGTGAAAAGATCTAAACAGAAGTATGACTAAATCATTTAAAATATCCTATTATATAGTCAAATAAATAGAAGAAAGCAATTTAAAAACAAGTAAATACTAAAGACTCTTTTTAATAAATCAAATTTATATAAGAAAAAGATTCTAGGAAGATTATTAGGATTAGTTCAAATAATCAAAATTCAAAATGATGGTTTTAATGTATAATGAACAGAGCACTTAAAAATTAGAGGTTTTTTTAAGAAAGGATCTGCTTTTCAATAAAAACTGAAATGTTTGTAAGAGAAAACGTCGAGGTTAGAGGAGAGTTGAGAAAGAACCATTTAATAAACTTTTGTAACTATTAAATTAGTAACAGAATAAATATATTAAGTCGAAAATAATTTTGTGAGTAAACAAGAAACTAGTTACTATTATTTCAGTTTCTAAAGTGTACCTAAGTTCAACTGAGACTTTGTCATTTTTTTAGAAAAAAAAGATGATAGGATTAAAAATAGATTTAAACTACAATTTTTTTTTTTTAACTAAAGAAGAGTGAAAATATTTTGGATAATTAGACTAATAAAGTGGAATTACTCACAAATTGGCTCTTTTCGGCTATAGAAATAATTTTGTCTCTCAATAAAATGAAAATAAAACTGCGATTCTTTTTATTAACAACTACTTAATTAAGAATGTTGTGCAAAATGGTACTATTTAAAGTTTTTAAAAAAATATCTCGAAAAGTCGAATGAACTCTGTTGTCACGAGAAAGAAGTATAGAAGATGCAATAAAAATATAAAACTTTCTCGCCAAGAAGCTTTACAACTTCAGGTTGATTTTGAGTGTGTATTACTTGCTTTATTATCTCCTCACTATGAATTTGTTATGACAAAGCCTCAGAAAAAGACTAAAACATCACTTCAATTTATGAAAGTGAAAGAAGCAATTTCATGTAATCCTAAAGAGGACCGTTTTGTCTTTGATGTTCAAAAATTTATTAAAACACGGGCTTCAGAAATGGTTAGTTCAGAAACAAGAAATGGAATAAGTTACTTAACGGCACAAAGAAGAATTCAAGACTTAAAACATATTGAAACCATTCACTTATTTGAAGATATGTTAGGAGAAGATTATATCTTTGAAATTGGATTTGAAGACCGTGATGGTATTCATGGTTCAATTCATATTTATTTTCATAATCAATTACTATATTCAACTAACCAAATCAAAAAAATTGGTCAATCAATTTATTTGTACATTAATTCAAAATTACCTTCACCAGACAGAATTATTCGTGTAAACGAACTCTCACCATTTCTTTCTTTGTAAATCAAATTCTTTTTGTTTGATAAATCTTTTTTGTTCTTTTTTTATACTATTCTTTTTATAGAATAACATCCAAAATCCTTTTGTAACAATCTATATCCAATAAAGTTTTTTCCAACAAAATAAAATTGTTTATTCTTCTAAAGTCCAATGAATTATATACTTCTTATTCTCTCTTAATACTTTTCTTAATAATTCCTTCAATCTAGATATTTGGTCTTATGATCCTTTAGTCACAGTTAATAACAAACTGTTATATTCAATAAACTAGGCATACTTTGGTTTAACCACACACGCAATTTTATTGTTTTTTTTTTAATTAATAAAAATCGAATTAGGAACATTGGTTTTCTAGATTAATTTAATATTTGATATCAAAAACAAGAACAAATAATATGGAAGAAAAAAACTAGATACCTGATATCTTCTAACACCTTATCTTTTTTTTTAGGTATTTTTGTTATTCTGTTTATTACTTTTCAATTTAATTATAGAACAAATTTGCAATGTTTAAAAGAATTGTATCATAAAACAATGACTTATAATTCATACTGTCATTAAATATATGACACTTCATTCTTTAAAATTAACTACGTATTACTTTAAGTTCCTCATGGCTTGTATCAGATTATTGATTTGCTGGTTGTTTATTTAATATTTATTTGTTTCAATAGTTTAATATTTTGACTTTTTATAATTCATTAAATAAGAGTCATTTATTATCTTTATGCATTTTCACTGGTTAATGCTATTTTGTATTATATAAGAATATTAACAGGGTTAATTAGGAGATTTGTTTTTATTGGACTTTCATTAATGTTTGTTTTATTTAAAACATACTTACTTTGATTTTCTTGTATCTTTATTTTAGAGAGTGACAGCACAACGTGAACAAACCACACAATTACACTAGAAGTTGTTATTCTTTTACAAGATTCTTATAGGTTATTCTATATTTATTAATATCACAAAATTATTTTGATTTGAATTCCTTATTATAGATTCAGATGTTCTATATTTACTATTTATTTATAATTATTTTGTTAAATCCATCTTGTTAAAAATTATTCAGTTGATTATAGTTTTGATATGATGTCTTTTTATTTACTTTTCTTCATAGTTTATTCTTTGTTCTTATCTATTTCTTGTTTTTTCTTTCTTCTTTTGTATTATTTTCATTCCTTCTTCTTTACTTATTTTAATCTTGCTTCTATCTTGTATTTTCAAAGTTCTTATCTATTTTATTTTCTTCTTTTTATATTTTTATTTTTTATTCGGAAAGAAGAATTAGGAAAAAATAAAAGAAGAATAGAGATAAAATACTTATGATTTTAAATACAAATAATAAATAAAAATGAAGGAAATTTTCATAAAAGACTAGACATTTATCTCAGAGATTTAAAAAAAAGAGAGGTATTAGTCATAGATATGATAATAGTAAGAGATAAGAACATAAGTAATGTATTTATAAATAAAATAAATAAGTATATGAAATTACATGAGCATATTAGAAAAGTAAAAGATTAACAAGAATAATAATTGTCCTATTCGTAATAATAGTATGTGTATTGATAATAAAGAAATAAATAGATTACTAAGAAGTGAAAGAGTCAAATTTGGAAGTGAAATAATGGTAAAAGATATAATATCAAATATGAAATATTTTATGAAATATTGGTGGTGATTAATATGAAGAATATAGAGATATAGAAGAGCTAGAAGAAGTAGACTCATTAGAGAGTGATGTGTATGAAGAAATTATCATCTGAACATTATCTTAATGTTATTAATTGTTAATTTATTATTTATATTCTATTTTCTTATTCTTACTTATTGTGTAAGTTTATATTTCTTTTTTTTATTATTTGTTTGTTCTTTTTCTCTTGTTTTAATAATTTCTTATTTTATTATATATTCTTTCATTTCTTATTTGTTTTCATTTTAATACATATTTTGTGTTTTGTTGGTTATTCGTATAAATCACTCATTCTATATTTTTTTATTTCTTTTATATTTTTCATTTTTAATGTGTAGTGTTATTTCAATTTTATTGAATATGAATAGATGAAGTAGATGAAATTAAATTATTATATTTGTACTCATTTTTATTAATAATATCATTCAAATGATTGTTATTTATTTTATATTGATTATTTCAACATTTCTATTTATCATTTTATAACATTATTCATCAATTCTTAATTCAAATATCAAATAATCATTCAAAATGTGTTAGTTCAATATCAATTTCATCTTGAATTCATAATTCTTGAATAAGAAGTAAATGGATATCAAATTCAATTCATTTATGTTGAAACTCTAATAAAAAATCTCTATCAAGATCAGATATGATAATAGAAATTGAAACAATATGAAGTCAAGAATGAATTATAGAATTTAAAATCGTTAAAATGATGAAGTTAAAATAAAACAAGAAGTGACTTTGAATGTAATAATAAAGAGATTATTTATTAGATTTTTCATTAATTTCTTCATTTGTACAATCTCAAAACATTGTTATTGATTTAATAATGCAGTTTTCTGTTGTGTTGTATTAATAGGATGTGGTATTTTAGTTTTAATAAAATTTATTAAATAAATGAAATAATAAAATTAAGAGAATTAATTGAAAGCAGAGATAATTGATGAATTAAATGCATTTTTTTTATCTAAGAATAGAATTTTTGAATAATGATTTTGATTATTAATCATATACTTTTTCACTTTCTTTCAAATTATTAGTACTTTATATTTTAGATGATAAAATTTATTTAGTAAATTAATTGATATTGATATGATAATGGATATATAAGGTTTTATTAAAAAAAATAAAGAAAGAATTAATTTCTATATCATATTAACTAATATCAATATAATAAATCAATATAAGATAATTAAAATGTTGAAAGACTATATTCAGGTAAATTTAATGAATAAATATAAATTTTAAATTATAATATCAGAAAATATGTTTTTTTTTAAAAAAAAAAGGAAAAAGAAAATAAGAAAAATAGAAAGAGATAATACAGAATATATTCTAGATACTAAAAAATATATATAAAAAGAATCAAAGAAATGGTTGGATATAAAATAAGAAAATAACAAAGGTATGTAAAAAAATAAGAGAAAAAGGAAATTTAGAAAATAATAAGAAAAATGTACTATAAATAAGAATGAACATAAAGTTGAAATTAAAATATTCTTTTGAAATGAGTTTGCTCTTAGAATAAAAATTGTGATTTTGTCAGTTCAATTATAGAGTTAAAAGAGATAAAAAGTTGGATAAAGAAATTAATAAAGAGCGTAGATGATATGAATGTGGAGATAAAGGAGTACAAAATGTGTACTATCATATTGTAAATCATGATATAAATTTAATTATAATAATAAACATGTATTGAAGATGATTGTTCAAGTGGAATACCAAGAATGATAATAAACATAAACATGATTATTATTGGAATAATCACATAATTCTTTAAATGAAGAAAGATTAATTAAATACTAGTTTAATAAACTAAAACATAATAAACATGAATAAGAATGTAAAGAAATAATGAACAAATAAGAAAATCAATAATGAATAAATGATAAAAATAAGATGGTGGTATTGTTTTAAGTTTAATTTAACAAATATAAAAATGAATAACATGATGAATAAGATGAAAAGAATGATAAATGCAATGAAATTAATTTATAATATCAATCAACATTCATTAGAAATAAGAATAATAAATAATAAAGAAATAGAAACAGAAATAATGTAATGAATTATTAAATTATCTAAGAATTGTTATAAATGAATAGAAATAATACAATAATGAATAACAATAAGAAATTAAATAATTGAATAAAAAGAATAAATAATAAAAAGATAAATGAAACAGATGACATTTCATAAAAATGATACATTAATAAATCTAAATATAATAATTAGAAATAATGAGATGATTTAATCTTTAAATAAATTAGAAAGTAATGAAGAAATGAATACAATAATACAATAATCATAATTATGAGTTAATAATTTAAAATAAACAATATAATAATATATTTTCAATAATAATCATCAACAAGAATAAAATGTGATAAATAAAAAGAAATGGTAATACATTAATAAGTAATATATTAATAATCAAATGAATTAACGATATGATAATAATGATAGTTTTATATTTATAATACAAATAATGAAGAATGATCATAAATATAATGAATTGTATTTTTTAAATAATTCAATTAAAATGAATAATATATTTTGTTTAATAAACAACAAGAAATGAATAAAATACAAATAAATTATAAATTAAATATAAATGATGATAATTTAATGTAAATAAAAAATGTAATATAA